GGGGTAAATGCAGTAAGTCCACCTAGGTGACAGGCTGGGATCTGGTAGAAATGGTAAGACCCAGATGTCTGGTCTAATCTCCTTGAAGGAATCATTTTATGTATTATTCTAAGCATTTGAGCTCTGGCCTGGGGATCTGCTCAGTCACTAGTAGATAAGATCTAGGTATGTAGCTCAGGCTTTTGGCTGAAGGGTATAATGTCACTGACAGCTGCTGATGCGTCTGAGGGGCAGCTCCGTTGGTTACACTGTGGAGTTGGTGCTTAAGTGCTCACCTTCAGAAAATATGGCACATATTCCCCTTAGCGTGGCAGAGTGGGCATTTCATTCCCCATAGTGACTTATAAAGGACGCAGTGTGAATGGGACCTTCTCAGGTTACACATGTAACCATGGCTCCCTGAGAGGGAACAAGATACTGTGTCCCCTCGCCATGCCTTGAAGATGTCTGCTTTGTCTCCTTCAGACGAAGAAGTGGATGATGGGTTCTCTCTGCACCCTTTCATACTATGGTCATGCCGGTACTGACATCATAGGCTGCCACCAGCCAATGTTATTGTTGTGTTTACAAATGTGCTTCAGACACCAGTCACACTGATGGCATTCCCCATAGCAACCTATAAAGGATGCAATGTATCATTCCCTCTCAGGGAACCATGGTTGCATGCATAACCTGAGACATTCTTTCGCGGGCTGACAGGGTCCAGTATTTTCTGAGAGATTAATATCAGACGTAGCTACAAGTATATGGTGAATGTGAATTAATTAATTAATTAATTATTATTTATTTTGTAAGAATGTGAAGAAGAGTCCAAACTGAGACTCTTCTCAAACGTCTCTTCTCTAAACTCACCTTATGCGACTCCACAGCTTCTCTGATTTGCTTTAGGCCTTTCTTTTTTTGCTGGATTGTTTCCTGGATTTTTCTCTGCATTTCCTCAAAATGTCTCTGCAGAAAACAGACGTGTTACAAAATACATGTTTTTGTAAAGAAGTATCTTTTTGATATAGTCCCTTATTTAAGGCTACATTTATTTGATCAAAGAATACAGTAAAACATTAATATTGTGAAATTTAAAATAACTGTTTTCTTTCTGAATGTATTGTAAAAATGTAATTCCCATGTAAAAAAAAAAAAAATCAATTACATCAGTTTCCCTGATTGAGGGAAAAATCTAATGACAAATGAGGAGAGATTGCTGCTTATGAGCTACAGAAGAGAGCAGTACCTGTTTCTCTGCTCTTGCCGCTGCAGTTGATACAGTGTCGTGATTTTTGTGTTCATCCACCAAACACAGCATGCAGATACACCGCTGGTCAGTACGGCAGTAAATTTCTAGCATTTTATCATGTTGAGGGCAGATCATCTCCTGCAGTCGTCCAGTGGCAGCCATCAGATTGTGTCCTTTACTTCTGAAGAGATTCTCATGCTGTTCAAGATGATTTTGACAATAAGAGCTTTGACACTCCCTACAGGTCTTCACTGCTTTCTGTTTAAATCCAGTGCAGGAGTCGCACTGAACATCTCCAGATCCAGCGTGAAGAACTGCAGGAGCAGCTTGGCATCTCGTTTTCTTGAGTTTCTCTACCATTTCCGCAAACATCACATTTTTACTTAAAACTGGTCTTGGACTGAAGGTCTGTCTGCACTGAGGACAGCTGTAGATTTCCTTCCGATCCTCCTGATCCCAGCAACCTGAGATGCATCTCTTAC